CTGGTTAGCAATGTTTGTGTACTGGTTAGCAATGTCCTTGACTGGTTAGCAATGTTATTAATTGGCTGATGAAAAGGTAAACAAAAAGTGTATAATATAAATAAGTTGTACAATTATTTTGCATATACAGCTCGGATCCAGAATTCGTGCGTATGCATATAGGGGTCATAGGGGTGATGGGTATTTGCATAGAAGTCAACACCAAAAACATTACTTTATATTATAATGTACATTTACAGTTATTTGGCCGATGCGTTTACTGACCATAGTCTGTTTTGGTTGACATTTACTGCACATTATTGTCATCAAATTATAGATACACTTATTTCTGTATTTATTTCCACTGGAACATTAATGCCTGTTCCATAATCCGACTCTGTCATAAGATTATACTTATTATATCATTTTTGCAATAAACCAAGCAATTGTATCTACCACGAGTTGTGTCCATTAGTCAAATCACATTGGAACAGTTGACCCCCAGTCAAATGAAACTCGGAACGTATATACTAGTATATTACAAGTAAACAACCACAAACTGGCAAATTATAGTACTCGCGATGGTTGCCGGACAGCCTCGTGTTTTCTACTGGCCGATATCACTCTGATTAAAATCCAATGTGGGTATGAGGCTCCAAATCGTTTTTTCTTATTTTTTAATGACCTTTTATATATTATTTATTCGTATTTTTGTTTGAATATGTTGATTTTTTTAGTTTGACTTGCCGTTAATCAGTTCTTAGAAAATCGTGTCTCAGTTGCCTCTAAATAGGAGCCTCATACCTACATCGATTTTAATCAGATTGGGCCGATATGTGCACAACCAGTTCCATAATTGGTACGTTAATCGTGTACTTTTTTTTTTATAATTAATCTTGTTAATTGTTTTTCGGGGAGTCGCGTACTTTTAATCTATCGACCTATATAGAATACAGCCACTACCGTTATGTGTACATCAGATGGCCTCAGATGGTGACCGACGCTTTGTATTTCTGATACCACAACGTCACTTCTTCAAACATCTCACATCTCGATTTAAAGGCCCGTTTTTTCTCATTTGTGAGGCAAATTATCGTCTCTATGATCCTACAAACACGAATGTTTTATATTATTACAGATGACGACAATGTCAACGAACTCCATCATGGTCATCTGGTATTTGATTGGTTTATTGAAAATTCTGTCATCGTAAACACGTTCTTGGGAATAAAGCATTGCATTTTAGCATACGAAATTCAGCAACAAAAACATTTGGAGTAAAAGGATTGTGAATAACATTCGATGTGAAATAACTTAACTTACTTAGTATGTTTTTGTATATCCATAAGAAAATCAATCACAACAGTTCTAACTCATTTCCGAAATGGTATTTTATAAGTATTGTAAACGAAAGACGCGCATTCAGTAGCCAGAAGAGGGCGTTATGTGTTGTAGCCGATAAGCAACTGAGACGTTGTTTGACTTATTGAGTAGGACCACAGATAGGACGCAGCCTTCTGAACTGCGATCAACGACGGCACACAATATAAGGCTGTATGTGGTACGTATGTGACATTAACTGTTATAACATGTAGCGTCTCGACTCCTAGAGTGTGACAGACGTCTTGGGGTTACATTTCGTGCTAGGAGGTGCTGAAAGGGGTGTGGCAAATGGTATACCATTAGCTTTAGTTACTCTGTATGGAGATACCTCCATGCTCTTACGTGCACCTTCATTACAACTAGACATTAACCGGCGTATATGACATACGTAGTTTCATCGATTATAGTTTACCGGGAATAAGACCAGATGGTAGGGGTAAACACCGGCAACAAACGTCGACGCCAATGTGCGATCGTCTATGTAATTGATACCCGACGCTTAAAAAACACAATAGATATGCAAACTAGATGCAAAGGTCAAGCAGGGGTCAAACTTGCGTCATCGGTAAACATTTTGAGAAGCGACGGATATATATCATTTCAAACATTTTATTCCACGCAATTATATGTTAGAGAACTATATATATATCAATATATCGTACCGTATAAGGGTTTGCTAGAGGGTCGGCAACGGGTATTTTTGTAAGCTGTAATAATTTGTTTTTATTTTCGTAATAATGTGATTTAAATAAATAAAAAAACGTGAATACGTAGACATGGACAAGGTATAACATGCAATCAGCTATTTTATTCGTCCGTAATTTATCAAAGATATTATTTTTTGTGAGCGTATAAAACATTTTCCGGATTAAATGTCGTAATTCGTACCAAATGTTCAATTTTATTATTAAACTATTAAAAATATTATAAAAATGTAAAATGCAATTAGGAATTTACTTCGTCTGTGTAAAGTGTAAAAACCCTTTTTTTACTGTAAATTGAACTTTCATTTTATTTCCTGTAAAATGCTGTTTTTAATTTCTTTAACCTGTACCAACTACCCCCTCGCTATAGTCCATGAATAACTATAGCTGCAGTTACTAGTACCAGCAGAAATTGTGCTTATGCGAAGCACATGTAGTTCAAGTACTCAGTGACTGGTTCTGACCATGAAGCTTAATTGAATTTTATATTTGTTCCCCCACACAGATACGCTCCTTAGGATGGCCTTCTCTCCTCCCAAACCATTATATCAAGGAGACAAGTGCCATCTAAGCTGCAGGGGACTTTCGAATATTCCAGCAGATGTTTGTAAACACTTTGAATTGAGACAACTCGATTTACAACATAACAACCTACAAAAATTACCATCACAACTGGCAGATTTGAAGTTATCTAACTTGGATATATCAAGCAATAAATTCAAAGTCTTGCCGCCTGTTATATGTAAACTCATGAAGCTAAGATATTTGTATAGCAATTCTAATCAGTTGAAGAAACTACCCATGGAATTGAAAGAGCTGAAACTTCTTGAGGTGTTGAGGTTGCTGGGAAATGAGATAGATCATTTCCCACCAGTTATCCCATTGATGACTTCTCTTGTCGAGCTCAATCTGAGTGGGAACTCTTTACATAGCATCCCTAAAGGAATCTCTTCTCTAAAACGTCTGACAGAGCTTGATCTTGGGTACAACAAGCTGGATTCACTACCGGACGAGTTATGCAAGCTGACAAACCTGAAAACTCTCTACGTTCAGGGTAATAACCTCGCCTCCCTCCCTAGTGAAATCAATGGCTTGAGGAAACTGCGCAACTTGTTGTTAACTGACAACAAACTCAGGGAATTGCCAGCATCTTTGGTGGAGGTCACCTCTCTGAGGATAGTGAGTGTCACAAATAATCATTTGGAGTGTTTTCCAGAACTATTCTTCACCAAACTGAAAAGGCTGAAAACATTCAATTGCGAAGGGAATAACTTGAAGCATCCCCCGAGGAGAGTGGTAGAAGGTGGTCTGAAAGAACTTAGAAAATATGACCAGCAACAAGCTAAAGGTATGAACATCACCCAACTCTCCGGATTTAGGATGATGATTTTCAGAGAGAAGAAGAATGGAAGGAGTCATCACTATCTTGTGAAAGTGTACAAAATGAGCATACAATTTACAGTTCAAAGTGTGACTTCTATCATGTATAAGTATGTTTATAAATACTTTTAATATGTTTTAACTTTCAGGTTATATGGTAGCTGATAATACAACAGAAGTTCAACTTGGAGAAAAACGGACTCGGTGCGATGGTGATGATGAAAATGTAACTACAAAGTATGTGAAGACTAAATAGATGTCAACCAGTCAGATGATAAGCTGTCACCAGCCGTTAGAGAGCAATAGTAAACTACTGAAAATCTAGTTACTACTAGTATGTGTTATTTTGTGGCTGACTAGTTAGTGTAGCCGAGTACATTGTAGTTGTCTACACTCTGATCTGGTCTGAAAAAATGGTAATGGATAGTTAGTGATATCCTAGACTGGTTAGCAATGCTCTTAACTGGTTAACGCATTTCTAGCCTGGTTAACGGTGGTATATTCTGATTTGAGATGATCCTGATTAGTTAGTTAAGTTCTTGACTGTTTATAGAAATGATTTATACAGGTTAACAATGTTATATACTGATTACAGCAAAGGGTTAATGTTATATTTATTGAGGTCGAAGTGGATTTTTTTTTGAAAACTAGTTTTTATCATATTGCAAAATATGATAAATTTGTTTAAATAATTGTATTATATTGAGTTTAGTATTATATTGAGAGTAAACAATTACTGTATTATTCGGTGATTATAAATCACCACTATCAGAATTAGAGGTTTTCATGACGTCATAGCTTTACTTTATAACATGATGTAAACCTCTATTCGTATGTAAATTACCAGTAATTTCAACAAAAACATCCTAAATTTAACTGAATTTGTTTAATTCTAATGGTGGTGATTTATAACAACAATAACGAATCCCCACAGCACAGATAATTTGTCCAGATTGCCTTAAACATTATCTTGCCATACATCATTCTCCTCATCCAATGTGGCACTGTGGGTGATTCATTATTGCTTAAATAAAGCTGTCAAAATGGATCAGATAGTATATGAGTTGATGGTGGGGGTCGGGAGGTGATGAGTTTAAGGCCATTTACATGTACTGTTTCCATATTATGATAGTGCAGTACAGTGTTACAGTTGCATCTAGCAGGATTGCTCTGTCCTTTTAAATATTTACAGCCCGAGTGTCATTAAAGCAGGATGGTCGTCACCTGCGCACGCGCGGGAATTGAGTCTCAAGCGACGATAACAACACATGCTAAAAACACAAAGGTTCATGAGTAGACACTTGTTTGTAAACAATGACACGCTATGGTCATCTGACGCATGCGTAGGTGACGACTCCCCCGCTTTAAGTCTTCGCGGGAATGACAAATCCTGAAGTAATGTTTTAATAGTCATAAACATTTCTGATGAATATTTATCACATATTATTCGTGTTAATTAAATTTGATACACACTTAACAAAACGCCTGAATGTGTATTTATTTATGTTGGTCCCAGGAAATTAGAACAGTGTGTGGCATGGCATTAGCATAACCAGAAACAAAAAAATGTATTCCATGATTATTTTTTAGATCAACTGCTGTCCATTTACTTTATCCGCTACAAAGAATTTGAATATTAAATATTTGAAAACATACTCATGAAAACAGATATTTATATACATATGTTGATGAAATATTACTTGAATGTCCATCTGGCCTAATGTTTTTTATTAGAACGGTTTAATCAAACGCTGTATAATGCATTGTGAAGGCATTCAATAGCGTCTAATATAGTACAAGTATATAATCACTAAATTTGTCAGCAACGACAATTTACTCGTGTCGTTTGACAGGACAGATATTCCGTATTATTATTCTATTCAATGAGTTGCCATGACGAGTACGTTATTCACGTAATATCATTTGTATGATATCTAACATAACAAAATCGAGATGCTAATGAATGCACGTAGTTGTGGATATACCATCTAACCAGATACTAGCATGCCGTTGATTAAGCACGGAAATCACGCCCCTATACTGAAATCAATGTCCAAGGTTTCAACGTTATGGCGTGGTTGTTTGAATAGCAAGTATATCATCAGATAAAAGGAATGGACCATTTTGAATGGAAGAAAATGTAACGAGTGTATAGTTTCCTGTCACAGCGGTAGGCACCCATAGAACAAATGGCTATCACAGTTCTTGTAATAAAAAAGGGTTATTTTCAAGTAATGTAAACTGATATTTCTCTTTGTTACTTTTACATTACCAGTTCAGAATAGCATTTCCGCGTCTTTCTTTATTTGCAAATTTTAATATTTGAAGGTGATCACATACATGCATAGGAGTGTCACTAATTCCAACGTAGAAATGAGTTTCTTTATAGTCTTCTTGATTTTAAAACAGTGGTGCCTTTTTCACCCAGATTTAATACAAACAGGGGGTGTCCTATGAACAATTCTCTGTGAAAAAGAGAGCTGGAAAGAGCGTGGACACCCCAGCAGAATACAGAGAAATATTTTTTTTTTAAATCGCATGCACCCCATTATGTTCAATAGTCCATCCTTGAACAAGTATTTTGTTTGCTCATATGCAGTAGGTAAATTGTTTGCCCGTTTATAAATAAACACGCCTTTTATTTATGCGTCCATTGAGCTCTATGGTAAAACGTGTACGGTGCAGGCCGCTTTCAATAACCATCAACCACACCGGAAATATCACGCTAAGAATGAAACCATTTTATAACTAGACAAACTGTAGCAAAATGTAGGGACATCAACAACAACTACTACGGGGGGGGGGGGGCATTCAACGTTGTGTACTCGTGTGTTTGAATTGCACCCGAAAAATATGAGCCCAGGATTTCCATCCCACTATAGTGAACATCTAACCCCCTACGGTAGTGACGTCTCCATGTCAGTGAACGGGTCCTGTGTTGAATACCATTGTGTGCACTATGATACGACAAAGGGGGTAACGGAAGTCCGCCAAGTGGTTATCAATTTCGTCAGGTTTAAAAATAGTTCACCCGTGGTTCAGCCAAGCCCTGAAAATAAAACTCCGTTTTACAGAGTACATTGCTTCACACTGAGTTGACGTCACTGTTATATGCCAATACACTTAGAATAACCAATCACAGACCAATCGTACGTCGCCAAACACAGCAGCACTGTTGATATTCCAATTCATACCGTGTGAGGGCGCTGTCAGGGTCAATTAAACAAATATCGGTCTATCAATAGAATCGACAGGTCTGGACATGTCGTGGATTTCCGCGTCTTTGGGGCGTCGGGATTTAAATACATGTATGATGACATCCTTTCAACTTATTCCAGCTCTACTCACGAACGTCAACGGTGCTGAAGACGCTGCTGATTCATTTGGCTCCGGTGTTTAGTATTCATGCCCAGATTTTAAGCTCGGGCCGAGGTATTATTCGGTAAGTACACTACTATATGTCATCAGTCAGGATGGTATCGCAGAGATTGCTTGTGTGCGATACCTCTCTGTGCCGAGTTATTGCTAAAATCCGAGAACCGTCGTAACAGAATAAACACGTGCTCTGAAACTGAATGAACACGAGTCATCATGACCACGGTTCGTGACGACAAATTAATCACATTTACGGTGGACATCGTGTCGAACCACACATATTCGACGGTCGTTTATGCGACACACAGTTCACAGTAATTCATGTTCGTACGGCATCGGCGACAAAAACAATATATTGACATCTTATTTCGAATGAAGCCATATAAATAACTGAAGCTAGTTATAATCACCGAATTCCCAATATTTAGTCATTGATATTCTAGTTTATATGGTTGCAGACAGAACGACTGCAAACTATAGACATATTCTAATTTTACATTGATCTAATTGTTACGGGGACTTTCACTGTCGGTCAAACAGGTTTTGGCTATTAAACGACACACTAATAACGGATAAAGTAATATGTTTGTGCGCATGCGCCTGTTGTATATTTTCGTAATGGGCTTGTGTTTATTTTGTAATTCAGAACCATGATGGCAAGGACACCTGCAGATTCGTCGGCGGCAAGACCACCTTTCTTCAGTCCCGATGGATTGCGCTGTCACTATGCCGAGCTTGGAGCGGTATCATTGTCTCCGGATGTAACCAAAGAAACCGACATCGAGCATTTGCAAGCCCAGGGCAATAAATTGTGTGACCTACCGGCGGAACTGTGCAAATTAGATCAATTGATAGAGCTCGAAATACAACAAAATAATTTCAAAACGCTCCCCAATGTAGTCTGTGAGTTGCCATCCCTGAGTCTCCTCAGAGCATCGAAGAATTTCCTACAGTCACTGCCACCTGGACTTAAAAAACTTATGAAACTCAAAGCTATAGAACTGGACGATAACGCTTTCACAGAGTTCCCGACTGTTCTAACTGAAATAAAGAGCTTGAAAATTCTCATTCTCGATTCAAACTTCCTTATATCGCTGCCTGTCGAAATCGGTATGATGGATAAACAACTGACGCATCTCAGTTTAGGTAAGAACCAACTGAGGGCGCTACCCGATGATGTATGCAACCTCAAACATTTGACACACCTCAACGTAAGTTACAACATGTTGGAAACACTGCCGAACAATTTTGGAAATCTGAAGAAACTACGCGAATTGTATCTACATTCGAACCGCATTACAGTCTTGCCAACCAGTATTCTGCATCTTACCAATCTGGTTACGATGACACTGCAGAATAATTTCCTCTCCCAGTTGCCGCCGGGTTTCAGTTCATGTCTGAAAAAGATCACGTACCTCTCTGTTGACCAGATACCAGAAGCGCACACACCAGTCTCTGCATGTGACGTCAGAATTCAAGGAGTAAGGCATTGCGAAGGAGGAGCAAGCAAGGAGAGAGGTAAACATTTAAAGAAGTTTGTTTAACACACGATTTTTTTTACTTTTGCAGTCGCATGAAGATGTTTCTTATTTCTACGTAGACATTTGATTATGATGTAATGTGTGCAACATACTAGTGAGCAAGTTCTAAAATCTCATGCGCTCATATTAGACGTATCGACGGAGACTTGCATGTTAAGTTGTACTCACAAAACACAAATACAATAATATCTCATTTTGTTCATTCTTAGTTTTTCGGATTCGCCCTGATGCCTCGGATGTCACGCAATCAACAGGACCAACAAGTGGCCTCAGAAAACGACGTGCCCCGAACGAGAAGGAACCGACAGACAAAGTTACGAAGAAGGGAACACGCACAAGGAGGAGTAACAGAAATTTGAATAAGAAACCAAAGTAACAGCAAGACGTTTAGCACGTTATGCACTAGAGAATACAGTGTATTTCAGCATAACAGTTATCCTAGGTTTCCAGTGTATTTATTCATACAATCGTTCTCCATTTCATATATATGGTTGTTTACTTTACTACGCGTTTTGTTCAGTTATCTTTCGTAGTCACGATGTTAAAGCGGGAGGGTCGTCACCTGCTCGCGCGCAGAAATTGAGTCCCAAGCGACGATAACAACGCATGCTAAGAACGTAGGGGCTCATGGGTACTAGAGATTTGTCCGTAACAGTCGCACGTTATATGGCTGTCTGTCGTATGCGTAGGTGACGACCCACCCGCTTCAGAACGAAAATCAAAGTAGAACCTGCTGAAAGAATGAAATAAAACATGTTTGTGGCGCTCTCCTTATTTTGTTTGTCTTTGTCTTTTTTAGTTTTCTTAGTGCTCAAAATAATGTATACTTTACTCGATATGTCATGTTGGGTTATGTGGGTTACCGGTACATGACTAAACTACATCGTCCGCTCACACGGTTTCTTCTCCGTTCGTCTCTCTCTCCACAACCCCGTGCGATATTTGGAGGCAGTAAGCTGGGTGTTGATACATACCCAGACGCGGTTTTGTGGCTACGTAAAAATTATGTTTCATTTTACTGTTTTGGCATGACATTTCATTTGAAAAAAAAAACTGCCAGCAAATATATATTAAAACGGCAATAGCTGTGAATTTGAACATTTTTACAACTGCATGGGCAAACTGACCCGACACGAGACTAATGTTACATGAAATGGTTTGTGAAACCTAAGGATCAAGTTATTGCCGTTTCGTTGAACGCCGGTTGAGCCGGTGAAAATTCGAGAAAACAACACAAACTCAACTTTGAAGTAATCCTGAACAACCAAATTTATATATGTTACACAAGTAGGGCTAATCTTGTTACACTGTTCAGAAGAGTCTCAACAACCATCCCAAAGTACCGTTTTCTACGAGTTTTTGGTCTTTGTTTTCACCGCGATGGTTGCCAGGCGGTGAAAATGCCCGGATGTCCGCTCGAGGATATGATATGCTTTCAGTGTTCACATTTCGTTGAAAAAATGACACCAATGACGCAAGAAATAAAAATCGGAGAAAAATATAAATAACAAGAAGTAGTAATACCGTAATCAACCTATAAATATGTGAAAATGGTATTGGGATACATGTAGTACAAATATTCACACAGAGTATAAACATACATGTGAACAGAACTGACCTGTGATCTGGGTGCATGAAGTGGCGGTGAACACCAACTCAGTAAACAGGGAGCGAGTATTGACCCCGCAAAATATGCATAACAATCACAAAGTGGCTGATTGAAATCGAGTTGTTTGTCCAGGTGGGAGTAAGAAGTTGGATGACACTGAATGCAAAAAATAACATTATAAATGTATTTTACTTTCATTTTTTTCATTCAATAAAGATATCGAATGTGTAATAAAATAAAAGCACTATAACACCCACCATCTGAGAGATTGACTCGCCTCTAACCAATATACAGTTGGAGTACAAATAGCTTGACGTTCAAGTACTACTGTTTTTCGTCGGAAAAAACCAGAGATGTCTAACACAAATATTGTTGTTTTACTGTATTCAAAAGTTCATTTAAAGTCCACGTAATAAAACAAATGAATAAAAAAAAGTGTCGGCTTGTTCTGCTATGAATAGGTTGTCGGTTTGTGAATTGAGACTTGTATTTAGGCAACTTGTGGTATTTGCAGTTGGTTTAGTCTTTTCTACGAAACGTAACCCTAACCTTAAATTTTGAACGACTTCAAACATCGCCACGTTACAGAAATAAATTTGTCGAGCATATTTAGTTTCCACCTCTTTTCCGCCTACTTTGCAGCTCGATTCATTTGTGCTGACATGACGTGACAGCCATTTTGGAATTTTTGAACACTGATGGCGTTATTTATTTCGTGTTTCACAGTGTGAAATTTTCTCAGATATTATTAAGCCAATGAAAAAAAAAATGCGAGTTAGGGTTACGGTTAGGGTTTCGCTTCGTTTCGCGGAAAAGACTAAGCCTTTGCAGTTAACATTCTTTGCGAGTGTGTACTTCCATCCGCAATACTTGGCAAGGTCGGCATAATGTCCCCATCGGCAATTCATTCTCTCAGACTAATTTCCAACACCTGTTTACACTGACCACTCAGAAGCCAAGACTATGCCTACTTTATGACTTCACTTCACAAAATAACCCAACTCAATCAGCAACACACTGAAATTTCCAGGCCAGTTGCTCTAATGTTTGCAGCGGCGAATTATGGTCAGTAACATCATTAATGCAAGAAATCACCAGCTGTAACGCGGTCGCCGATTGGTTACTCATGCTGTCAATCGCTTGACCGGTGTATACATAGCAAATGAGACTGACAAGACTAATGTTACTAAAATGTTTATATTAACAGCGCTGATATTTACAAAACAAATGGAGATTTCGGTTAATAACCTTAATATTACACGCGAATATTACACGTGTTGATTACACTAATTATAAACAAGTGACATTTGGCCCATGTTATGCACATACATTTGGCTCATAGTTATTTAAAGAGGGAATGTGGATTTGTTTGACAGTGCATCTTCATATCATTTAATAAAATCATTTAAAGGGCGGTGGTCGTTGATTTCTCCTCAAATCAAATCGCGCTCTTCTAATGAAAATCGCAAGTATAACATGGGCGCGACTTGCGCTAATTACCGCTGGTGACTACTTCGATACCTTCCAATCTCCTAAAAAAATAGCTAATTAAAGCTTGGTAATGTCTCAATTTTTACTCTTTGATCTGCGCAACAGTCAAAGTCGCCGTCTTTGTTTTATATAAGACCCATATATCACGCACATGCGTGGCGCAACGACCACCGCCCTTTAAGCATGTTCAGAACATTTTCAAAGTTATCCACATACAACTGATTATCATGCTAGGATATCCTGCTCCGTCATCAACTGACATACTAGTATGCCATATACTGTGACGTAAGCAATAGGCCGAACCATACTAAAACACCCCTTAAAACACGAATCATCTCCTTGTTTTATCGGTTAGTAAATATAATAAAGTCCTTGCTTGATCAGCACGTTTGCAGGCAAGTTTCTGAACTGATTCGGAGGGTTATTATTCGCAATTCCCCGACTCCAGTGTTGATGTGGATCGTACTCTTCTTCCGGAACGGTTGGTTTTCTAGCAACTGGTTGGTGTGGTAAGTGTGTCCGATTCGTCTCGTCTAGTAAATATGATGAGTCGGTTTGAATTGCCTTGCTTACCGTCAACGGTTTTCTTATCACCGGTACATTGCGTGGTCTAATGCTCCCGAGTACCTTCATCTTTGACCTGAGGACGTAATCAGTAATACGACTTTATCACGTGTCTCATGACGTAAACAATATTGTGGGTGCGCAAACAGCAAATGTACATGACTTGGTGAATGAAAATGTTGTTCATTTCCTGAAAACGACATTGAACTGTTTGTTTTTTGAATAATTAACGAAATAATGAACATACCTGTAGTGGCACACAACAATAACTATAGCAACGAAACATATCAAAGCAATAACATAGCCAACACCAATCGCTATCATAATGACGATGTCGTCTGAATACACCAAACCACCATCGATGCCGTCCACCGCCCCTGTGACTTCAACGGGCACCGAAGTAGAGTTGCCTCCATTATCTGCTATTAGAGTAGAATCTGTGGAGAAGTTTTGTGCGTTGTTTTTATAAATATCTGTTTGTCAGAATGAGTGATGAACCAAACTGCATTGTGTTGAAACCGCCATTTTGTTGCGGAATAACATTACTGAATGTATATGCCTAGAATAACGGTTTATAGAAAAATGAACTTCACGTATCTAAACATTGAATTGAATGTTAGTATACCTGGACTGACATCGGTCTCTGTGCCATTAATCGAGGTTTGGTTCAAACCAACGGTTGTCCCTGCGTTCACACTCACTGTCGTCATTTCACCGTAACTTATTTAACTCTGATATTTCAAACAGTTTTGATTTTCTCCCAACTATTTCCTTATCCTGAAGCTGAGATTTATTTTTGTATTGATGACATAAAACCTCTCCTGCAGCAAGTTTTGTTTTCGAGTGGAAACTATTGGAAAGCATTTGTTCGGAACGAGGCTCATTAGGTGCGGAGTATACAATTTCATTGTCCAGTCATTGGTTACACAATGTCCACCCAAATCACCCTGGGTTACGCGGGATGGGGGATATTTTAATCTGCTCCACACAATATTGTTGGCATGGAAATATACAAAACAGTTTGCTAATACTAGTATTAAAGTACTAGTATACATTTGTAATAGTAAAAAAAGCTAACGGATGTGTTCTGGTATGAACTGTGGGTTCGTACAATGTTTTCTATGTGAGTTGGCATTAGTGCCAAATATGAGTCAGATGTGTTTCTGTGTACTGTATATAAGCTTTTTATAAGCAGAATCACGTGCCTTCGTGACGTTACCATGCACGACGCCTAATGTGAATGGTTAGGCTTTTATATCTTGCTAAATAAGGAAGGCTAGGAATTCGTGGCATCAACCCCGACGTGGCGTGCCTTAGAAAGTGTGAGTATGGTCTAGACACGTAAAATACATTGGAATGTTAATTCTAGGTGTCAAAGAAAAAATAAAGGAAAAAGAAATAAACGGGAAAACCCGCACTGATATAGACAATTGAATGCAATTGTCCTGACAGACGTGGATGACGTACAAGATATATCACACACGCATACCCTAAAATGCGCTAATTACGTAGTTGTGCATTGTAAACCAGAAATTCAACACGGGAATGCATGTATTAGAGATATGACACCGTACTATGTTGTGCGCGTCGCAATAATTAACAATGATTTACAAATTTTCCTTATTGCTCGTTTGTTGATTTATTTTAAATAAATAAATTTGTTCAACTTTCCGGTGATTCTTGGACGTATAGGTGAACCAATATCGGATGTTCATTTTATGTTTATAATGATTCCTACCCGACCAATCTTCTCAAGACACTCGGTTAAACTAAAACAATATACATTTCCAAATAGTTATTAATATTGCTGTTTAAACAAATAATTGATAAATGAAACACAATTTGTATTATCAGAGCAACTGTTCTCGGAAGTTAGACAATTTTAGCTAGTCTGACTACAAATCTTCTCGTTTTGTTTTGTTGTGAAAAACGAATGAAATACGAAAGGATGCAGTGTTTCCGAAAATGGAAAGTGATAGTTATATCGCTTTCGATTTTTTTTTTTGAAAAAAACAAAACAAAATAAAACAAACAATAACAATTGTAAACAGCGTCGTGTACGCATATTTTCCGATTACGGTTTCTGCTAATTTCGTATGATTTGTTATGTGAAGACAAAAATTAATTACGCGTCTAGTCCCAATTCCACTAATTACGTCAAATTAATCATAATCATGATCTTGAAAATCGAATTTACCCATGGTATCTGCTGAACGAACACGATGCACGTTCCACTTACAATATAGAAGGTGCCCGCTAGCGAACCACCTTTTGTAGACTGAGCTCGCTTTTGACTGGTTATAATACATGTACTACATTTGAAGTATATACATATTGTAGTTCCAACCATGGAATGTACTGTTCCAACTAAGTTTTCAACAACAGCCTTTTTCTATTTTGGACACAAATACAACGTACCGTTTTGCGTTACCCGTAACAAATCTAAAGATAATACTGCTTTACAGCAAACTTTATCAAAAATCTGTGTAATAAAAAATGTAGATATTGGCTCCGTGTGAATAACCAGTTTCATTCACCACCACGTGACCACATTCTTGTCATCCAGCGTGATGATCTGGACATGAGGTATAATAAACATGAACATTGAACGAGCATAGGAACGTACCTCTATTATTATATTTTGAAAATGACCAATGAGCCCCACCCCATAGGACAAGGATATGCGACACGATGTTGTTGATGATACTTCTGTCTGGCTTGCTTTAAAGCGGGAGTCCCAAGCGACGATAACAACTCACGCTAAAAGCGCAAAGGCTCATGGGTAGACGCTATGGTCATCTGACGCATGCGCAGGTGACGACTCCCCCGCTTTAACGAAATATTATACACTAGGAATTTCATGCTGTTTTTGCATATGTATTTTACATCCTAGTAAATGAGATTTTTCTAACAAAAACACACAAATAAATGTTGCGAGTGATTGTTTCCCGATGATCAATGGTTTTACATGATATAATATATTAATATTATTTTTATTTTAAAATTTATGTTAAAAATTACAAAAAATTACAGGAAATACTTAGATTGTTGGCAGTGGGACCTTTTACAGATAAGGGAGCCAAGTGACCATTATATCATATTATGTATGAAATCCACCATTTTTAATCTGCGGCAAAACAAAAACAAGTTCTCATGTTATCGATGTACAACCTGAATACTTGAATATCAACACTTAGTTGATTGAATTTCGAAGAAAAATGGCTGGTAGACATGGCTCACATGTTCGCAGAAACCAAAAAACGCAAATACTCAAAAAATGACATTTTTCGACTTGAAAAAATACACCTGAAAATGTACACTGCACATCGTTTCTAACGATTTCGCGCCATCAGCGGTGAATGTGTAAGTGGTCTGACCTGTTCTCCATGCAGATGCATCGTGTGACTCGGGCATGTGACCTAGTTCAACAGAAAGGGGTTTTAAAATTTGAAAATTCAGCATTTAGTACGTCATATTTATACATATTAGTTGCTTAAATGTTATTCATTTCTGAATACTACAATCTATCGCCTTCAATAAAAAGATTGCAAGATTGTAGATACTTGTTAAAATGAATAAAACAACAAGATGTCAAGTCACAGATAGTGGCTTCTCAAAGTTAGTTTCACCAAAAAATGTTAGATACAGCCACAAAATAACCTAATACTACTTTTCGCATTATTAAACCAGTACAGAACCATCGGGTCAGACTTTTCTGCACATGTATTAGGCCGGTGTGTCGTGATACACATCCTGTACATGAACAAGATGGTGTGGGAAGTAACACGTGGCCATTCACTGATTGTCACGTGGATATCAAGCTATTTGTGACGTGACAAAATACGTATCACTTATAAATAATATCCCTGTAAATTGTACCACATGGCATGTTTTTCTTATCTAGTTTCCTGTCAATGTATGCCAGACAATTTAAGGACAGGCTTTTAACCCGATGTTCATTTTAGTAGGTCACCTGGGCATCAGTAGTGTGCTATAGCCCGGTATTGAATACTATTGACCTTGGTCGCTGTAAACTTGTGAGGGAACATTTATCAAGAAACAAAATTACAGAAATATCATTGGGGGAAAAAGTGAACCTCTAAACTAAGTGAAAAGAGTAGTTCTATCTCCCTTCACAAGATTTTCTAATGGTTCCTTGTCGATATTTATGGGGGCGCTCATCTGGAATCCTCGTCGAATATAAAATAAACACAACGTGTTTTTCTATTTTCTTGCAAAGCGGTGACAAAATCACACACTCCCCGGCCAAACGATCGATTGAGATAACTTTAAGCAATATGCGGACAAAATTCAACTGCATTCGGTGTGTTTGATTGAATATACCTCTTGCATAAGAACACCAATCATGCAGTCCACATAACATAGTAACCAGGGTATGTGAAAACTGAAGAATACATCTAAGTTATTCAGAGATGGATTTACGGTCGAGAGATGATTTCGGTTTAAAGTTTCCGACAAAGTGTTCTAGGTCCTGTTAAGTAAGTTTTACATCGACTTCGCGAAACAGCACACTTCTCCAAATGTTCGTCGATTGTCGGCCTTCGGCCTCCAGCAGATAGACAGCCCGAGCTACTGTAGGAATATCCACAGTTTCATGCCTCTGTTTTCTAAGGTCTATGTGTTGGCTGATTTGCCACTTACGCCTGGCCACATGTATGAATACATTATTTAATAATAATCCGATATTAGTAGCATTTTCTGTATTACCTCTACTTTTTATTTGACCTTTACCTGACCTAAATTATTTGCTTCATCTAGTGAAATGGGCATTGAGAGATTTGACCTTGATATGACATTGACCTGACCTGAAATATTGCTCCATTACGACATATTTGAAACTTTTGTTGCAATACAATTTTCTGCGAATATGAATGAATTGGAACTGGAAAATTAAGACAATCCCAACAATAACAATACGATCTAAGCACGGTCTCCTAACACCAGTAGGAGTAATACCATTACTACTCCTGTTTCCATAATATCAGCCATGATATGTATATGTTTGACTACTGATACCAATATATAAAAACACTATAATACAGGATAGAGCAAAACAAATTGAAATTAAATAATACAAATGTGCGTGTCTTCGAAAATTCGATTAATTTATTTATTTCAAACGTGTACGACCATAGCAACTATTGTCTCAACCATTTTGATTATTCAGTCAGTTGAAGTTTCTCTCACTTGTTCTTGAACGTTTATACTTATTACCAACTAGTTTATCAAGATGGCGGATGAAATCGATAAAATATAGTAAAGAAGGCATTGACATAACGATGACAAACCTGATATCGAACGAAACATGACACCTGTAAAGTAAGATACGACAACTTATCAACAACTCTACATTTCGAACTTGACATTGTGCGATTGTTTTACATACTCTGCTGTGATTGGTTGAGAGAAGAAAACAATATATGAGAGACGATTATGAAGGACAACCAGTTAACTATCCGCAGTCGATGTTGTAACCATGGGTTGGATAGTCGTCGTGTTGCTTTGTTGTGCTGCAAATGCAGTGGCATATACGAGATATGATGGGTAGGGATCCTACATCCAATCACAGTAAATGTATTCCATTATTAATGAAATCTATCGGGTGAATAATCATCAAAACAAATTGAAGCACGTACGCAGTTCTATGATTTTTGTTTTTACGAATCGACGATATATATAAACCTAATTTTTATTTTTCCCAATATAACCCTTGACCTACAGATTCCAAGTCATTCGGGTGATTCCTAGGTATGAAGATGAACTTGAAACGCTTAGGCAGATAGAAAGGGGACATGCAGATGAGGTGAGATCACACGCACGACAACATTCATGATGATAGAATCCAATTATGTAGAGAGTGGAACCCACATACTGCCACACTGTAACATTAGCTTGTATAAACCTACGTGAGACGTAACGTATGTGCTAGTGCTAAACAATGGGGAGATAGTGAGTCTGTTCAGCAGTACAGAGTGTAACTGTATACCAACATAGACTTATCAGTAACCACACGTTAGTAGTATGTCTGTACTACTACACGTTATACGTTTTCGTTTGTTATAGATCAGTTTTTGGAAAGAACCGACAATGACTGACAGATTTGTCGACATCATGGTGACACCTGACTTTGTCGATGGTCTTTGCAGCATGCTGCAAACGGCGGAGATGAAGTATTTTACAAACATTTACAATGTACAAGAAGTGATCGACAGAGAGCGAGAGTTGATGAGATCTAGGCCACGTGAAAATGAAGATGAGTTCGATTACGGAACATATCACCGATATGACGAGGTGTGTA